AATCTGAGGGAAAGACTGAAACATGGGGCTTCCTTCCCCAGGGCCTGATCTCGAGGAACAATCTTCCCTGGACTAAACGAGGGAGTGGTGGCAGGTGGACAGCCCTGTCCGGCAGGGAGCAGACTCCAGGAAGAAAGCAGGTATGCCGAGTCCTAATGCCCCTGGTACCTCTCTTCCATTCTCTCAGCTCTGCATTGTAACAAAATAATCTATTTTGACCCTTGGAAACATCTGGAAGACAAGCAGGGGAACAATAGTATCCCCGTTTTACAGATGAGGACGCTTTACAGAGGATGCTGAGGCTTAGAGCTGCAGGTCCTCCAGTGGGCCTGGGGCAGGCTGGGCCCAGAGCCTTTGCTGCCCATCTGCCTGCTCCTTGCATTCTCCTAACACCCAGGAGTGGTTGGAGCCTCCAGCCTGGGTAGGGGGAGCTGCTTGGCAGTAGCAGCCTCATCTGTGCTCTTGGAGGAGGTGCAGAAGGAGCCAGAACAGCACCCCCAGTGCCGGAGGCTGGGTCTCAGGTGGATTTGGGCACATTCCTCACTGCAGCTGGCTAATCTCAGGCAGAACAAGAGGCAAGGAGCCTGGGGCACATCCTGGGGCCCCACACTCCCCTCGACTTTATTCCAACCCTCAGGTGTGGCCAGTCCCACACTGTACCCAGCAGTGGGCCCATGGAGATAAGTGGCAGACAGAGGTGGTGGGGCACAGGGGAGGGCCAGGGTATGGTGGCAGCAAAGGGTGATGGCTAGAACGGGCCTTCCTGGCACCCCCACTCCCTGCCCCATGATGCTCTGTCAGCACCTCCTACTCCTCTGCTGCCTGGCCTCCCCCAGCCTCTGGTTCCCCTGGCTCAGCAGGGTCTCCACTGGCCTGACCCTCCCTCTCCTTGGTTGTTGCAGGCTCTTCCTCACTGTCCGTGTGGCTGGCTTTGACCCCAAAGTCTCCATCTCCCAGGCCTCGGTTTTCTTCCTCCTGGCTCCCTGTTCCTGGCTGCCCACCACTCTCCTCCGCTGGAGCCCCCTGGGTCGCAGGACATTCTGCTTGACGGTAGACCAGGTAGCTGGCTGTGGGCAGGCTGTGGGCCAGGGCTCCAGGGGGCAGCTGATGGTAGCCCTGCTCCTTATACAGGAAGAGGCCGAAAGTGTCTGGCTGGGTGACTCGGAACTTGGTGGCACAGAGCTGGTTCAGGGTGGCGACCGAGGCCCCTGGAGGCACAGCGAGGGTCTTGGAGGTACAGCCACTGCTGGGGTCCTGATAGGCCACTCGCAGGAGGTGCTTTGTAGGAGGAGAGGGAAAAACAGGCGCTCAGCGCTGCCTAGTGTGAATCTGGCTCCAAAGCTGAGGACTAGTGTAGGCCAGGCAGGGTCGGGGTGGGGGTCCTATAAAGCCAGTGGTAGAAAATTGGCAAAAGCTTTGTGGCTTGGGGAGGTGGGGGTGGAGCTCTGAGGCAGGGAGAGTGGTTGGGCCATGGCTGGAGGTGAGGACATCTTAGAAGGGCCCTTCATTCAGTGCCTAAGCACTGATGCCGCACCAGTTCAGTTCATCCTCATGTCAACTCCAGGCAGTTGACTCCCACTTTACAGAGAGAAAATTGAGGAACAGAGAGGTAAGGTAACTTGTCAAAGCTCCCCCAACCAAGAATGGTAGAGCCAGGCCTGGAACTCAAGATCTGGCTAGAGTGTCTGGACTCTTACCAAAGCTGGGAAGGGTGAAAGGCAGGGAAGGCATCCAGCTTTGAGGACACCCAGGCTTGAGCCCAGGTGGGTCAGGGGAGCATGGGCTGAAGCCCAAACCCGCCACCTGTGTCCCTTTCCTTCCCCATGTCATGTGTGTTTCCTCATCTGTAAAACTGGGACTTAACATTTCCACTTCAGAGTTTCTGGGAAGATTCAAGAACGTCTCCTCCCCCACCCCCGGTACTCAGTGTGGGGCAGGGCATGTGGCCCAGTCTTTCTTCCCTAGAAAGACTGGCTTTGACATTTGGATAGGGTGCTGCTTCTGCTGCAGGTGACACAGGGCCAGTCCTTTCCCCTTGTTGGGTCTCACTGGGCAAAGGAGGGGACTCTGCTGGCTGATACCAGGGTAGTTCTGGGTCTAACCAGTTTGAGGTGATGGCCTGGAAGGGTCCTGTTACCTGGAGGCTGTGAGTGGCAGGCAGGCGGCGCTGCTCCCAGAGGCTGAGCGAGCGCTGCAGCTCCTGCGAGGGGCTCAGGGGGAGGCTGTGGGTCTGGTCCAGCCCACTCAGCAGGGCCAGGCTGGCAGAGAGACTGGTCAGGTAGTAGCCACCTGGGACGCAAGGAGCAAGGATGCAGCTCAGGCTCGGTGTGGGGTGGCCTGCTCCCTCTCCCCTTCCCTGCTGCCTCAGGACCCACATAGCAGAGGGGAGGTGAAGTGGGGGTACCTCACCCTCCCCGGTGAGTAGGGTGGGCTCCAGCAGCTCCGACATGTACTCAGCCTCCAGCAGCAGCTCGGGAAGGTTGCACTGGGCCAGGACAAGGCTCAGCAGCGGCAGGAACTCATCAGCACCAGCGCCCTCCCCTATGGGGACAAGATGAGGGGGAAGCTTCAGGCCCCCCTGAGGCCCAGCCCCCAGGTGAGAGTTTACTCCTTATTTTAGACATCATTCCTCCCCTCTTCCTGCCAGGGCCTAGGCAATGTGATCTCAATTGGGCTGAAGGGCTCCGGAGAAGGAGGCCCTCTCTCTGGGCCTCCATTTCACCATCTGTGAGATGGGAGCCTGGATCTCCTGCTGTCCCAGAGTCCTGGGAGCCTTTCCCTGGGGGTGGAGGGCTTGCCTGTGACTCCGGAGGGGACAATACCTGCATGGGTCCTCAGGACTGTGTAGAGCAGTTTGCAGGCTTGCAGGAGCCGCTTGACCTGAGCACTTGGTGAATAGGTGCCAAGCAGCTGCAGCAGCTTCTGGCGCACTTGCTCCATCTCCAATGGGGAGGGCAGGCTCAGGTGGGACCCAAAGGCTCCAGGGCCCTGGGCCCGGGCCAGGCGGAAGCCCTCAGCCAAGCGGCCCAGGGAGCCATCCGCAGAAAGCCTGCGCTGCAGGCGCGCTGCCAGGATGGGCCGGAGAGGCTTGAGCACAGAGCGATGCAGCGACTTCTCCAGGACGTGTTCTGCCAGAGAGGGGCCATCAGGGTCAGGGGAAGTGGGGGGAAGGGTGTGTGTGGAGCACAGCCTGGGAGCACAGGGAGAAGGGGCAGAGTCCTGAGGACAGACAGGAAAAGCAGGAGGAACCTGGCTGAGATGGGCATGTGGGGAGAGAGGCAGGGACTGGATTCATTCAAACGGTAGTGAAATAAGGGAGGTTTGTAAAGCAGAACAGAATCACAGACAGGCTGGCACTCTGGAAAGGATGATAGGGGGGTGCTATAGAGCTGGATTCAGGGAAAGACAGGGCAGAACCAAGTGTGGGCAAAAGGCCTTACCCAGCCTCGTGGACGGCAGCAGTTTCTCAGGACCCAGCTCCGCACTCAGCATGGCCCGGGCCCGGCTGAGTGCCTGGCGGATGCCTTGTAGCTCCTGGGGCTCGGGACCGGCCCGCACCTGGGTCAGTAGGTCCTGTACCAGCTGGCCCACGGCTGTGTGTCGGTCCTGCTTCTGTGCTGCGGCTGCCCGGCCCACCTGCCGCTCTGGCGCCAGCAGAGAACAGAAGGCAGCACTCATGGACCGAAGCAGGGGCCGCCTGCGGCCCAGGCAGGGTGAGGTCGCTGGGCTCCCCCGGAACCCTGGCACTCCCTCCTCCTCAGAGCTGCTGGGGGAGCCACAGTCTACCTCTTGGAGGGAGGGCAGAGGTGGGAGGCTGGGTCCCGTGCTCCCGGGCACACGATACCCTACTGAGCTCTCCCTCCGCAGCAATTGGCGAGCGGGTAGCTTTTCCATCTGGTTGGGGGCTGTCCCTGGTAGCACTGGGACTGGGGGAGGCGGCACGGCAGGTGGAGACAGGGGGCTGGAGGTCTCTGTGGACACACGTACTTTGAAGCTCCTCTTGAATTTCTCCCGCTTAGTGGGGCCCAGGTCCCCTGGGAATAGGGGGTTGAAAAAGCACAGGGCAGCTCCAGTGCCCTGGTCCAGTTCTTGAGGGGACCGGGCCTTGAGCCGGGGCAGTGGTGGGCCATCGGATGGGCCTCGCTGAGTCTTGGTGTGGAGGGAAGAGCCCCAGAACTCTAGAGAGAGAAACCAATCAGGGCCTAGGGGTTGGTCAGGGGAGGGGGCCCCACCAAGAACAGGCTGTGCTCAGCCTGTGACACGTTACCTCCAACTCTGCTCACCAGCACTGGGTGGTCCAGGGCCCAGCCCCCCACCCAACCTAGACCCCAAGTCACAGTACCCCAGCTCCTGCTGTGCAGTGAGAGGAGGAACCAGACTGCCAGCGTGCCTCCTCTCCCCTCTCAGTCTTTGCCTGTCCATCTGCGCAACAGGTGGCAGGAGAGCCCTTACCAATGCCCAGGTGGGAGATGGCCTCCAGCTCCTTGTGGGTGGCTGCCTGGTGGATGGCTCGAGGGAGCTGTAGGGGGAGGCGAAGGATGTCCCTGAAGCAGAGAAGGGAGTGCAGTCAGGAGCCACGGATGCCCGGGTCGGGTCTCAGGGGTGGAGAAGACAGGCTGTCACAGAGAGCGAGGCCCATAGCCACCGGGCACCCCGCAGGCAGACTCACCGGGTGTGGCAGTAGGCACAGATGAGCTGGACCAAGTCTGGGAATACGAGTTCCGAGCCCTCCAAAGAGACGCCTGAGAGACGGAAAGTGAGGTCGTTCTCTGGGGATCCCCCTCCCTCACTGTCAGCTTCCACCCCTTGGTGCCTGGTCAGCCTCTCTCACCACCTGGACCCTCCTGGATGTAGTGGCTGGAGACAAAGGAGGGGCCACTGGCATCAGGCAGCCGCACACACAGGGCTTGGCACTGGCGGGTGTTAGATTTCCGCACCAGGAACGTCTGCAAGTGGACAGGGTCAGGAGGCTCAGGTCCTCAGCGGCCGGCCACCCTCCCTGCCCAGCCAGTCAGTCCCCGAAGGGGACAAGACTCACCCCTGGAGGCTCAGTCCTCAGCACATGCAGAGCAGCTGCAGCGTTGGCCCTCAGCTGCAGCCACACGGACCGGGTGAGCAGCAGGCGCTCCCGCAGGCTGACAGCACGCCCGGGCCGCTGGGGCCCACCTGCCTGCCTCGCACCAGCGTCGGGCACGTCGTACAGGGGGTCCTGGGCTGGCCTGGGGGTAGACACCCAGACCTGAGCTGAGGGCCAGGGGCTAGGACCCTTGAATACCCCTTCTCCCTTTCTACTGGGCCTCGAACCTCCTCTGCTCCGGGACAGACTGCTCTTGCTGTCCCTCCCCGCCCCACCCAGCTACCTTTCCAACTTCACTAACTTTTCTCTCTCCAGGTGCCCAGGAGTAAAGCTGGGTGGGCTGGAGGCTCCAAGAGGGCCTGCTGCTTGCTCCCCAGGGGCTTCCATGGCTGGGGCTTCTTCAGCTTCTCTGGACTCAGGAAGAGAATCCAGCCCCCAAGGCACAAGGCACATTCCCAGCGGTGAGTAACACTTCCTGAGGGCGGTTCGCCCTGTCACACCCCACAGTTAACTCTTGTGTGTCCACTCAATCCGACTAGTGCACGCTGCTCTCTGTTCCAGGCCCAGCCTCCAGAGCAGGGATCCCTTCTGTGCTACGCTGCTCGGAGGGCTCTAGCTGTGGGGTACCACCTCCACAGTGCTTCCTGCAGCCTTATTGGACCCCTCCAATCACACACGTGGGTGCGAATGGGTTAAGCTGAACCCGACTCAGTTACCAAAGGCCCAAACCTTCCCCTTGGGCCATCTTTAAGTCTGTGGTCAGTTGCTCATCTGCCCACTGCCTTGGGGGTCAGCCTTATGGAAGAGCACCCCCTACTGGTCACAGATGACTCATTCCTGAGCCTAACCTGGGCTTTGGGATTTCAGGTTGCTATGGAAAAATGATGCCATGTCTCCATGGAAACCAACCCCTTTGCTTAACTGAGGTTCTGGGGGTGGTTCTGACACTCAGAGCTAAGCAGGGGGGAGTCTGGCTGTGAGGTCGTCAACACATGGCGCTGCTGCCGGCTGCCTCCCACGCGCACAGGCCCTGCCAGCCTGCCTTGCCAATCTGCCAAGCGGCTGGGGCAGGTGCAGACATGACCCGGTCTCCAAGCACCGCACCAGTCCCCTCCCCACCCAAGGCCTCAAGCTCATCCTGCGACATGTTTTTCAACTCCGCTCACTAGCCCTGGGTGGTCCTAGGGCCCAGCTCCTCTCCCTCAGCCTGTACCCCCCCTAGTACCCCAACTTTCCGTGTCATGAGAGAAGGAATTACACTGCAGGAACCCCAGAAGAGTGCCAGCCACTTCCCTCAGAAGCCCCGATTCCCTTGTGAAGTAAATCAGACACACACAGGTCACATCAGAGTCCCAGGAGAGGAAGTTTTAATTCCAGTTCTCATAACCTGGGAGGCAGATACCAGGCATAGGCCTAAGAAAGCCTGGGGAGCCTGGCTTCTCACCTCCAGCTCCAGGAAGGATGAACAAGCTCCCAGTTAGGATTTCTGGCTCAGAGCTCTCCACAGTGGGCTCAGCTCTCTGGCTCAGCAGCTAGAGAGCCAAGGTCCAAAGTCTGCAAAAAGGACATCACTTTGGCCAAGGATGGCAACCAGCTTGTCAGGGGACAGCGAGGAGGCTGATCTTCAAGAGGTGGAGGTGGGGGACTGGCCAGGACTGGAGATGACAGTCTTGCCTGGCCATGGCTGCTCTGGGGCCACAGCTGTGCAGGACTCACAGAGGGCAGAGGAATCCAGCTCAGTGACAGCTGCCTGGAGACCTAGCAGCAGCACGGGGAGCCACTGGGCAGCCTGAAGGCCCTGTCGGTCTCCCTTTCTGCAGCAGAACGTGAATCCTAGGACTGGAGCATGTTCCGAGAAACCCCAACGGTGAACAGCAGGGTCATGGTCCTGTGGGTGCGTGGGAAGGGAAGTGAGAGGAAGGCGAGAGGAAGCAGAACAAGAGGGAGGCAGCGCTTCATGCGGGTGACCTAGGGAAGCAGCCTCCATCTCGCACAGGACAGGCCTTCCCAGGGCCTCTGGGGTAGCTCCACAGCTTCATCCGTGGGACTCAGCATCCCAGCCCACACTGACCACCCAGTGCTGGCCGGGGCTCCAGCCCATCTCCAGTATTGCTGAGTTCCATCAACTCAGGGCTTCCCCATGTCTACCATGGCAACTGCTCCCCAGACTCCCACCAGGCCCTCAAACCTAGGCTGTCTTAACTTCCTTAGGCCCCTGATTCATTCTTTAAAAATTATTTAACTTTATTTATTTAAATTTAACCAGAGAGGGACAAAGAGAGAAAGTGAGAAAGCAAGCTGCCAGGTCCAGGACTTGAACCAGTCTGGCCATGTGGGAATCTAGCATCTCTAACCACCATGCCACCTGCCACAGGCCCCATTCTGACACGACCGCTGCCTCTCTCTGGGCTCCTTTCCTGGACGCTTGGTGAGAGGGAGACGTTTGGTGAATGAGAAGGGAGGGGAGACAGTGTGACCCCTGTGGTTCTTACCTTCAGATTTTCTCTTCTGAGGGGACACAGCTGCCCTAGCCTGGGTGGGTGAGAAGAAGTGGCCCTGAGAGCCCAGCTCCAGCCTGGGTGACCCTCCAACACACACACATCGGCCTCTGGGGTGGAGGGCTGCAGAGCCCAAGACCCTTTCAGGAGAAGCTCTATGTGTCCTGCCAGGCCCAGCCAGGCCAGCTGCTGTCCTGCCTCCCTTCCACCCCATCAAAACCCGCCCTGGAACAAGGAAGGGGCTAACTCAGACTACATGGTCTTCTTTCAGGGCAGCCTTGAGCAAAAAGAGGACTTGTGAGTGGATTGGAGTGCCAGGAAACCTGGGCTACAAGCAGGGCTGCCATGGGCTAAGATAATTCCTTAGCCCCTCAGGAAGCCCAGCCTGGGTACTTAAACTGGCAGCTCCTGTCCTGAGACAGGCCAAGGAACATAAGCAACAGCGGACTACCCCCCCAAAGGATTTGCCATAGGAGTGTGTGCTTACCGAGGACGGGAAAGCGAGAAATGACCACACTCCAACCCCCATCCTTGGCGTGGAAGGCCACGCTGCAATCCCGTCTCCTCTATTCTTCTCCTGGGATTTTGGTACACATGTATATGAGCCTAGTGTGATTTTCAAGCTGCTGGGTCCAGGACTAGAACCATTGTTGGCCATGTGGGAGTCCAGCACCTTAACCACCATGCCACCTGTTGGCCTCTGGCCTCACCTTTTTTTTTTTTTGGAAACGTTTTGCTATAGAGTGTGAGTGCTCACCAGAAAGACAAAGAGAGACAGAGAGCTAGAAAGCGAGAAATCATCCCTTGGGGGCATGGCCACGCTGTAATCCCTCCTCCTCCATTCTCTCAGGATCTTGTGCACGCACGCACACGCGCCCTGCATGAGTTTTAAGCCACTGGGTTTGGGACTCGAACCGCAGTTGGCTACATGGGAGTTCAGCGACACAGCCATTACACTAACTGCTGGCCCCTGGACCCACCTTTTTGATAGCCGTCCAGTCCTCCAGGATATCGATCTCCTGCAGCATGTACACGATGTAAGGGCCTACAGCAGGGGTCAAGGAAGTATGAAGTCCAGTGGAGGTGGCGGGGAACTAGTCCTGGGAGTTCCAGGTGGCATTGCCACCCACCAGTCACTGCAGGAAGGTGGTGTAGTGGATAGTGTGGAGAGGGAGCTGAGAACTTGGGCTCAAATTCAGGCTTCCTATCCTACCTCTTGGCCCCTGGGATGTCATTGAGTCCATGGAGGGCAGGGAACTTCAGCTCAACCTCCTTTCTCCAAGTCTGCTGCCTACCCCACCTCTTAGGGTCATTCCTCCTTCCATTCTGTCTCGCCCTCTCTTCATCTGGCCTCTTCCCCATCTAAAGACAGACTTGGGTCCCTTTCATTCTGAAACAACCCTCCTGTGGCCTTGCACAACCCCCTCCAGGGCCACACCCTCACCTCCCATTTGCTCAAGTTACCACCCTCTCTGCAGGCAACCCCCTCCCCTCTCTGCAGGTATCATCCTGCAGCACAACAGAGGGAATGCTACCATGAGAATGGCCTTGGGAGGTGCAGGAGGGATGAGGGCACACTGAGACCTGGACGGAAGAGGCTCCTGCTAAAGGTAGGCAGAGGTAGCTAGTCCCCTCTGGGATGGGGGCACCTCAGGGTAGGGCATGGGGTGCAGAGGAGAGGGAAACCCCAAGCATTTGGGAAAAGACCAGGAGAAGCTGCACAGGGGTGGTAATGTCTGAAAGGCACACTGGACAGGCTTTGACAAGCAGGAGTTCTAAGAGGACGGTGGACAGTGAGCAAAGGCACAGGGGCGAGAAAGCCTGGGATACACTGTGATGGCATCAGAGACTACAGGAAGCAAGAAAGGTCTCAAAGGCAGAACCTCATTCAGGAAGTTATAGCAAGAGAATGAACTGATGTTTCTATTTTTCCCTGGTCTAACACCCTAGGGGAGACCCAGGGACCCCACAAGAAATTCCTGACAGCTAGATTTGCCTGGACATGGTCAAGTACACCAGATGACCATCAAAGTGTCTAGTCTGGCTGCCCAAAGCCCTCCCCTAGGCCTAGAGCTGACCCAGACATCCAGCCCAGTTTCAGGCCACGTTGGGTGGAAGGATACCAGAAACGAGAGGTGCCTTCTTCCTCTTGCTGGGTGGCAAGGAGTCCCAGGTCTTTGAGCTTCCTCTGGAGTGCAGTTTGTCATCCCACCACTCTGTGCCCGAGGCCCAGAGTAAGGGTCAGGGTTGTTGCCCATAGGTTCTCGCACCTGTAGCTTCTGCCTCCCACATGGGCCAGCCAGCCCAGCCTCACCTCCCTCACCACCCAAAGCAGTGAACGGAACCCTGGACCTGGGGCTGGAAGCCCTATGAAAGAGGCCACAGAACTTCTGTGAGCCTGTTTCATTTGTTTAGTTGACAGTGGGATGATGACAATTTCTGTCTCCCCAAGACCTATTTGAACATGAGTGCTGTGGTCAAAGTGGAGACTGTGGCTACTGGATGTGTGGGCAAGACAGACCAACAATCCCCGTTCTGGGGAGGAGAGAGCTCTCTGGAAAGAGAGCAGAGCAGGAGCAAAGAGAGCCTCTACCCAGGCCTCCACTGTGTGCCAGGCACTGAGCTAGGCCCATTCTTAGCCCAGCAGCCAGGAAGCTGAGGTCCAGAGGAGCAGGTGTTGACAGAGCTAGGCCTCAGGTGGGTGGCAGGTGGGGCCAGCCCTTACCAGAGCTAATGTCCAGGCTCTGGCGGTCCTCCTCCAATCTCTGGATCCGCTCCTGCAGCTCCCCCTGCAGTGTGTCATACAGCAGCAGCTTCTCGCTCTGCAGGAGGGGGCGCGGCTCAGCCAGGTAGCATGGGCCTTGCCCACCCCCTGCACAGGCATCCAGCCAGGCTCACCTCCAAGTGCTGTTTGGCTCCCTGCAGCTCACACTCATACTTATTCCTGATTACATCCAGACAGAAGCCCTTGTAGATCCCTGCAGAAGGAGGAAGGAGGGGGCCTTGCTTGGCTGAGGGCCCCAAAAAGGAGGACCAGGAGAATAGCGTGAGGTAGGGCAGGGATGAGAGGAAGGAGACAGAGAACCGTGGTCCTGGGAAGGGAACAGGGCACAGGGAAGCCCACAGACCTGCCACCTGAATACGAATCTTGAGGCTCCGCTGCAGCCCCCCAAGAGGTTCAGTGTATTCAGGAGCTCTTTCAGCCCCTACTTCCTCCAGCCGTAACCGCAGCTGACTCAGTCGTTCCCTGAACAACCTGGGAGGTAAAAAGGCAGCCGTGTAACCACGGCTCCGCTGTCGCTCTGGGGCAAACAGCTGCCAAGCGCCTGTCCTGTGGCAGGCCAGGGTCAGGCACTTGGATCCTGGGCAGCCAGCACCCCTGCCAGGCACCAGACCCACCGCCTCCCCACCCCAGGTACCGGAGCAACCAGCCCGAGATGTCCTCACACTCACTTCTCCTTCAGCTCTGAGAACTGCTTCTCCAGATCCAGCATCTCATTGACACACTCGCTGCGGCGCCGCTCATAGTCCTCGTCGTCCATCTCTGGGACGAGAGGCCAATCAGGGCCGGCTCTGGAGAGGAGCGGGCAGGCACACGGGTGTGGGTGAGTGAGTGTGTACGTGTGGGTGGGGGCGTGTGCGTGGGGGCTCACCTGAACTCTCCTCTTCTGACTCGGTCTGGCTGCCGCTCCGTTCCTCTTCGCTCTCTTCCTCGTCCCCATTCATCTCGGTGGCTGAGTCACCCTCCACTTCCATCTCTTCTGTGTCTTTGTTTGGAGGCTGGACGGGCATCTGGGCTCTGGGAGAAGGGTGGCACCATCACTCACCACTACCCTCAGCTCAGAGTGAGAGTTTCAAGCAGAGAGGTGAACCAATCCTGACCGTAGGCGAGAACAGCCAGAAACAGCCACTCTGGGTGGTAAGGGTGGAAATGGCCATCTGCACCCCCCACAGAAGCCTAGGAGCAGTGGAAATGCTATTGTCCTTGGATAATCCTGGGGGATCCCAATCCTGGGAATGTTGGCCAAGGCGATATTCTATAGATGGGAAAACCCAATGGCAGGCTCCCCACTGCCTATGGGACTTGGCCCTAACTTCTGACCAGGGCTTTTAAAAAGTCCTTCACAGACTGCACTTGAACTCCAAGTCTAGCTCCTTCACCCAGCCAGCTCCTTCATCTAAGCCCAGTTCTTGCACTTCCACCTCCTCTCTGCCTGTGCTGCTCCTTCTGCCTCCAATGCACTTCGATCCTCTGCCTGATAACACTACAACCCTCTGGTCTTTCACTGCGCTCTGGGCCCTGTGTTGCTCCTTCTGCCTCCAATGCACTTCGATCCTCTGCCTGATAACACTACAACCCTCTGGTCTTTCACTGCGCTCTGGGCCAGATCCCATCTCCTCCTGCTTCCCCAGGCACTTCAGATCACCAGTGCTGTTTTCCTTGTGTCTTCAGTTTCTCCCTCTTGTCAGGCATCTTCCCATGAAACTTTAAATGTGCTCAGATATTCTCTACTATTAATAAAAAGCAGAGGGCCGGTCCTACAGCACAGCAGTTAAGCCCAGTGCATAGGGGGCTGGATCCCACATAGCTGACCACAATTCAAATCTTGGCCATGGCAGCTTGAAAAAGTGTGTGTGTGTGTGCGTGCACGTGTGTTTGAGCCCCAAATCCTGACAGGCTGGATAGAGGAAAAGGATAGTGGTGATCCCCTACGCTCCACTGGGAGGTGCTTTTTCTCTCTGGTAAGTGTACACACACTCTGGTAGGTAGGAAGGTAGGAAGAAAGGTAGGAAGGAAGGAAAAGAAAAGAAAGGAAGTGAAAAGAAAAGAAAAAACAGAAACACAAATCCTCACTCATTCTACATAATCACTCCCTGTTCTCCACTTCACGTTTGCTTTTCAAAGACTTGTGCATACTTGCTGTTCTTTTTTTTTCCTCATTTGCCAAAGGGCATGATACACTCACCAGAAAGACAGAGAAACAAGTACTCCCCAGTGAGGCATGGTCACACTGCAATCTTTTCTCCTGCCAGGATTTTGGGCATGCATGTACATGCATCTACCACTGCTCTGGGACTTGAACTGCAGGTTGGTCACATGGGATTTGGCTGCCTTAACCTCTAGGCCACGGAGCTGACCCACTGCTCCTACTTTCATTCCCCAGTTGTTTGATCTGTTTCTATATCCATCACTGTCTTCTGAACTGATTCTGTAGGGTTAACTAACAGCTTCCTTGTGGCTAATGCCATTATCTGCAATGCTTATCTCAATGGACCTCTCTGCAACAATGAATGTCGCTAAGCATTCTTTTTGGTCACTCGTCTACTATTTATTGAGCACCTAATATATGCTAGGCACCATCAAAGGCTATAGTAGGTGCCAGGACACAACTGTAACTGACAGACAGAAGTGGTCTTTGACCTCAAGGAACCTAAAAGTCCCCAGGAGGTAAGGTGAAGAGAGTTAAGACTAGGTGACATAAGGGACCTGGTCCAGATAGGTGAGCTGAGCTGATCGAAAGAGAACATTCCAGGCAAAGTGAGTAACATGTGAAGAGAAATAAGACAAAGGGAAGAGTTATGATCACATGGTTTCATGCCTCAGCAAGAAAGCTGGGCTGCAGAGATTTGGTCATCACTATTTATAGCAGGTTCTTCAGGCCATGGGAAAGGACACCATCAACAAGGCAGAATGTATGGTGTGAGAAGAGGTCCGTGCTGGAACTCCCAGGGTCTCACAAGGGCAGATAAGGAGACCCTTCCAAAGGGGAAAAACCCGAAGTCATGGATGGAGAAAGAGGATTTCAGAAGGAAGAAGTGGCAAATGGTGCCAAGAAATCAACTAAGAGGAAGATTAAACAGTCCTCAGCAAGTAACCTCTGCCTCCATAGGGCTTCTGTTGTATTTCACTGTGATGTCCTCCCAACGTCTCTGCACACTGCTTTGCAGTCCTTTAGAATAGTATAGACACTACTCCCTCCAAAAAGTCGTCTCTGTTTTTGTATTTGCCAGTTCTCATGTCTGTCCTCTTAGTCTGTGAACCTTGCCAGGGCGGGGGCTGCTTATGCACCTTATTCCCCTCTTGCAGTACTAGTTCACTTGGTGACTGGAAAACATACAAATGTAAAATTAAACAAAATAAACTTTTGTTGGGTAGGAATTTGACTTCTTGGTAGCCCCAGGTCCCTGTAGTGGCAGCAAACTTTCCTTGACATGAAATCAAGCAGTGTGTAATATGTGGTGTTTAGTCAATGATTTCACCAATGAGTTGAACCTGACCTAAAAAAATCTCAGTTCTGTAACCAGACTCCCCTTTCCCATTCTTGGGCCTGTCCCCAACATTTGCAATTCCTCTTCACTACTAAGTACTTACATTTACTCTGTAAGACGCACCTTAAGTCCTACTTCTTAGAGCAAACTCTCCTCCAGCTGACTCTGGCTCCGAGGTAAATTAAATCACAACCTCCCTCCTTGCCCCAGGTGCAGAAAGTGGAAAACCATCCCTGCTCTGAGTATTGTAAAGACCGCAGGGGGTACACGATGAAAAGGCACTGTCAAGGACTGTGCTCATGCAATTTATCTTTTCAGACTGCAAGTTCCTCGAGAGCAGGCCTCCAGGGAAGGCGGATCACTCCCCACTCCCGAATAGGCCTCTCCGCGACGCTGCCGGAGTCTCCCGCCCTGCTCTGTCCCCAGATGCGCTGGCGCCGGCCAGAAAACCGCGGGGTCTTCCGCGACAGCACTCGGCCTCGCACGCGTCAGGCCGGCTTAGTTTTCGCTTGGGCCAGGGAGGAGACTGTGTTGACTCCGACCGACTAACCGGAGATGTCGAACCAGGAGCCGGGTATGGCGATACGCACCGCAGGGAGTAGGGTCTCCGGCCTCTCGTCCGAGACTCCTTGAGAAATGCCAAGAGCTACCGGTTCTGGCCGCGGCCGCCCGGCTCCCGGAAGCACTGCGCAGGGCCCTCTTCTCCGGGAGGCGGGGCTTGTCGGCGCTTCCGTGTGAGTCATCAGGAGGCGCCCGTTGAGGGAGCTCACAATTGGACAGCTGGGGCCAAAGTATGCTGGGATACCGAAGCCAGTCCCCATAGCAACCAGTGAACATTCACACAGGCCTTCGGCCTGGAGCGAAGAGCAGAGAGAAGAGCACTGCAGGTCCTTGGTTTGCGGTCGGCGCCCATCGGTCGGCAGCCACCTCCCCACAGCGTGCAAGGGGAGTACCCGCCCTCCCCCCAAGCTCAGGAGAGTAACGGAGTCAGCTGTGGGTGTGAACACTCATTTATTTACACACTGTCATCGATAGGCAAATATCCAGCCTGGCCTATGTAGAGGGTACAGATCAGACTATCACCCACGAAGCCTGTAGACCCTTTTCTCCTCCCGAGCCCCCGAGGGTGGGAGCCTGGGAGAATCAGGAAGTTTAGGCTTATGCACAAGAGCTAAGAACTAAATTCTGCACCTCCAAAAGCCCATCTCAGACTTCTCAGCTGTCCCATTCAATACTTTTTGTTTTCCTATGGCCCACCCACCCAAGATTGTTAATAATAATAACAATAATAATAACAACAATAATAATACTGTAATAATATTAATACTTCACATTTGTACGAAGCTTACAGAATGTTTTCACATATAGCATCTCATCTGAGCCTCCCAACAGTTCTGTGAGGTAGGTATCTCACCTCCCTTTTTACAGACAGGGTAACTGAGGCTCAGAGAGGTAAGGGATTTGCTCAAGGCCACATAGCTAGTTAGTGGAAAAGCTAGGACTGGATCCCAGCACTCCATATTCAAGTCCAGTGTTCCAACACCACAGCTACCTCTGTAAAGTGGAGTGACATTTCTTACCCCAGTCAGGCCTGAGGGGCGGCCTGTGGAGCGAGGAGGCTGAGACTTTTCAGACTAGGGGAGGGAAGGTCTCAGCAGCGACGGGGAGAGTTGGGGTACTTGGTCTTCAACTCCTGTTTGAACTGGCGGTAAAGGATCTTATTGTGCTGATTCTCAGCCTCCTTTTGGGGGTGGAACTTCAAGGCTTCTTTGAAGCCCTTATGAACCAGGAATCCTTCGTTCAGCACCTCGAAATCAAACCCTGCCACGTGCAGCTCACAGGCCTATAGGAGGAAAGACAGGTCAGCAACGTTTGATGACATTCCCAGGACCCAGACTAATGTCCCTAAAGCCACCATCTTCCTCATCCTTCTAGAGGCATCTTGGATCTTCCACATCGTCCAGCTACTACCTGAACAATGATCCCCCTTGCTACAGTGCCCCCTTTCCATCCAGGGTCACTCCTCATAGAGCCCTGACCCCATCATTCCTCCTGCCCACTTCCCTGCCCTCTCCCTGATCGGCACCTGGCTGATCCGATTGAAGCCGTACTGCCGAAAGCGCTCGTCGAAGGGGGGCACCTTGCCTCCAGCCACGTAGAAAGGCTCCCACGGGTCCTGCCAAGGCACCACGTAGGCAGGTCTCAGCAAGCTCTCTTCTGGCAGGTTGACCCAGCGGGAGTAGTTGGTGGGCGCCTGGCAGGGTGTACACAGCCCATAATAGAAGGGCCGCACCTCGCCCACCTGGTATAGCTGCAGTAGCTCGGTTTTGCTCATGGGCATGCGGCGGGCTCGCCGGATCTCGAAGGCAGGCACCACCAGTGCTGTGCCTCCCCACTGGTTGCTCTGATCCAACATTTCTCGCAGGCTTCTCCACAGCCCCTCGCTGGGCACCATGTCCACGTCGATCACCAGGGCATAATTGGCCCCCTCACGAGCCAGATTCCTCAGCAGGTTATTGGGGTAGGAGACATTGGTGCCCAGCGCATAATTGATCCCGGGCTGGGCTACCCTGGCTAGCTTGTCAAAGACCTCCTGGCAGGACCGCAGCAGGGCAAACTCGCCTGGCTCGCGGGGGTCCGGTACAGCGGCCTCGTAACGCGAGGGGCACACGAGGTGCATGGCGACCCTGGCGCGCATGTCGGGGCAGTGGCTGCTCAGCGCGTAGGCCAGCACCGTGGCCAGCTGCGCCTCCTCCTTGGTGGCCGCGAACACCGACACGGACAGTGGGCCTTCCCAGCGCTCCAGCAGACCCGAGAGGTGCAGCAGGTTGTCCACGCTGGCGTGCGTGGCCAGGATCACATCGTTGGGGTCCATGGTGGTCTTCAGCAGTCCCCTGTAGACTCGGTAATCGCCGCTAGAGTCTAGTACGCCTCCAGAGGCCAGCGCGGTGCGGAGCAGCACCTTAACCTGGTCCACAGACCGCGGGGAAGGGGGGAAGAATTCAAAATATTGGTCTTGCTCCTCTTGCCCGTGCAGTCCGGACAACAGCGACAGGTAGAGCAGCTGCAACATTGCCACCAGCATAAGCGCGGCCAGTAGCAGCTGGTAGAAAGCGCACCGGATGGCGTAGGACATCTGCATGGTTCTCAGGGCTCGGGGTGCGCAGCAGAGACCACCGGCAGCTTCCTCAAGCGACCGCAAACCCGGATTTACCGCCGCCTGCCGAGC